ATGTGGGTTGGAGACCACTTCGGGAGCAAGATGGGTTTTTCGCGAGTTTCAGACGTGTTCCTTCCTCTGAAGAGAAGGCGCCCCGCATGGAGCAGCTCATGCATTTCCATGTGCGACTTTTCCAGCTGAAGCACTGGTTTGGAGGACAAGATGTGTTTGCCGTTTTTGGAAAGCTTCGACAGTCTCAAAGAGACGTTGGGGCTGTGACTTGGGCATCCATGTCTGCCTTCAAACCGCCTTTCGTAAACCCGGAGCCTGCACAGCGCAATCCGGTAGTTGTTCGTGACGGTCACCTGGACTGAATGCGAAAACAGCTGTTGTTGACCGTGGGAAGGAGTGGGACACTTGAACCCGAACCTTAAACCCAAAACCCTTAACCCGAAAGCCGCTGGCGGCGCCCGCTTCGCCGCTAACTTCTTTTAAATTTAATTTAGTCTACCGCGCGAAACGCCGCGCCCGGCGACTTGGCGACTTGACTTCTTAAGTTTGTATTCCCGGGCGTGTTCAGACCTGCTGGATGATGTTGTCTGCAAAGCGTTGTCCACGCTTTCTTGCTTTTTGCATGCTGCCTTGTGGCGCCTTAGGCCGGATGCTACCACCTCTGGTTGGAATCTTGGCGCTGTTGTTTTTTGGTGAAGAAGCCCACAGAAAACTTATTGCCGGTCCATTTCGATGCGTGGGAAACGAGGCCAAGGTTCTCATTCACTACTTGGTATAGGTCCAAGCATTCCAGTTCATTTTCATTGAGCTGATGCTGCACCTCCATGAGCCGGATCAAGATACACTCCGATATGGCTTTCACCGCCTACAGGAATTGTAGGCGCAGCGCAATTAGCAATTGTTACACCTGTTGCAAGAATTACACTTTTTGACCAGCGGCAGACATGCAGCCAGCTGGATTCTTGGCCATGACCGCCTGGATTGTACCCATGACGCTGTGGGGTCGCATCGGCAGGCATGAGTCTGTTATGTTTATGACCATCGACATACGTCGTAGGGTCTTTCTTTGAGATTGCCGCTGGACGGGAATTCCATCGTGGAGTTGTGGACTTTGTGTGCACGATCGTGACACAACAGGACCCCGGGGCCATCTGTTGTTCGACGGAACAAGAACGGCGGCCGGAGCTTCGAACCTTGGACTGCACCGGTGGCCTGGACAGCTCTAGGCGACGGCCTTTTGCTGTTGTGGATCGGTCGCTGAGGCTCCGTAGCTCGTGCTGAACGGCCAACACCGGCAAAGCTTGTGCGCTGCAGCTTTGCCTCTCTTTAACGAACCGCCCTGTTTCACCGCTGTCTTTGTTTGTTTGTTGGTTTGTCTTGTTTGTAGGGATTGAGTGCTACAGCTGTAGTCGACGAGGCCGCCCACGCCAAAAAAATATTCCCCAATAGCTTGCCGAAAAACAAGATCACGCGCCATGCAATTCCCGAATATCAATAGCTTGCTAGCAAAAGACCTTGCACGCTCGAATTCCCGAATAGCTTGCCGGAAGCAAAAAGATTGAAAATTGTAATTCACCAATAGCTTGCCAGAAAACGCAAAATAGATTGCCAAAATCTGGATCGGGAGTGAGTGTGAATAAAAGGGTTCGAATCCTACAACCATAGCAAACCTGCAAGATTTGGAGAGTTGTGGCCCCTAAATCCACCCGATCCAGTTTTGGCAATCTATTTTGTGTTTCTGGCAAGCTATTGGTGTTTTGCCAATTTGCATTTCTTTTTTGCGGGCAAGCTATTGGGGAATTCAGCACAACGCGGATCCCCAGAACTACTCTTTGCTTGCAAGCTATAGGTGGATTGCACACAACTCGGAAAATGGTTCTGAATCCCCAATTTTTCTGCTTCTGCTGTGAACACAGTTTCTCTGGGGATTGCCTACCACAAGAAAATTCCGTCAGCGCTTCCACAAGCCCGAAAAATCTTTGAAAACTTGCGAGCATGAATGGACAGACCACCTCAGCCGCGGCACCTCGAGGTCTTACCAGAGCTGTGCATGGTCCGGAAAGCAGAAGCAGTCAAGTCTGTGCGCTCGTGAAGGTCTTTGCAAAATCAAACACGCTGAAGCCCCTACTTTGCAGTGCAGCACTTTCCAAGGAGTTTTGCCAACACAAAGCTTGTGTTGACATGCATCGCGCAACTGATCAGTTGAAAGAATCTTCCGTTAACATGTCTGTCAGTCCTGCACCCAGCACAGTTGCGCTCTAAACCGCGCAGGTCAGCAACGCCGACCGGTGCTCTCGCGCTGCATTCTTGTGCTGGCATGCACTGAGCTTGTGTCTGTGTTCCTTTTGAACTCAGTCCTGCCTCTTCATTCTTCAGACGCTCTGACGGAACTGCTGGACGCTGCCCGAAAGCCGCGTGCCGCCGTTGCCAGACACCTGAACAAAAGGAGTGCCTGTTAAGTCCACACCGCGACCGCCTCCTCGTCAATACCAATGCAAGGAGGCTCTGGCTCCGTAGCAGCTGGTCGGGCTGATTTGAAGAAAGGAAACTTGAACAAGCTGACACTTGCAGAGCGCACCTCGTGCAGGCAGCAGGGGGCGGGTAGAATGCAAGCGTGCCGCGGCGAAATCGAGGACCGTGTATCCGATTCAACTCGATATTGGGGCGGTATGCACCGCAGGTTCGCCTGCAGTCTTGGCTCCGCGCATCGGATCGGGGTCCATGAACGTTGTCAGATTGTCAGCTCGGCGTTTTGTTGTTGTTCCCAGATGCGAGAACACTTTTGGTTTATGTTTCTTTGGTTTTCTGCATGTCTCCAGGTTTGCTGTTGGTGCAGTCTGGTCCTGTGGTTCCGTGGTCTGCTGGTCCCGTGGTCGTGCGGTCCTGTGGTCACGTGGTCCCGTGATCTTTTGGCCTCGTGGTTCCGTGGACCTCCGGTCATGTGATGTGGTTAGCCAGCCCACTCCCTCCCTCCCGACTCCCAACCACTCGCTTGTTTTTTAAAGCCGTGCAAGCTTGCTTCCAAGCACATGATATCGTTGGAAAGACATCAGAGCCTTGTGCAAATGGGCCTCCGGAAATTGTATACACATGTATATAAATTTATACAAATCAATATACATGCATGTGTGCATATGCATATTGTGTAAGTGAAACGCCGACCCACACCCCAAACCTTAAACCGTGAGCTCTCACCCACATAAGGTGGCAGATGATGGACCACGGGCCGTGACACTGCTGATCATAGAAATTGTAGCAACCTCGCCCTTTGCGCCTCGGGCCGTCCCTCGTAGACGCAGGGAAATATTCGATTGCGAGTTGCTTAAATGTGGGCCATGCGGCCGCTGAATTCGCAAACGGTGCCGCAAAAGGCACCATGCCGCCAGTTTCTATCTTTGCAAAGCTCGACGTATAACATGTGTGTGCAAACATGGGTAAGGCCTGCTCAGGAGATGTTTGGCCAGGCATAGTGTTCTTTCATTTGCGGGCTGCAGGCCTTAGAACCTGGATACAAAGTTACTACTCATACATTCCCGAAGGCGCGCCATGGGCAACTGCCACTGCCCTCGTGATTCTGGAGACAGGGTGAATCTGAATCTGGATCACACCTTTGGACCTGCGGATGCAGTTGAACTACCCGTGTCGATTGAAGGCGAATATGTGAGCTTTTTGACGGGCAGCCCTCACAGCCTCGTTGATGCCTTCGAACTTAAGAAATCTGGAGAGCACCACTTCACGCCCTGGCGATCGAAAGAGAAGTACACACGAAGCGGGAACGTGTTGAAGGGACGTATGAATGGAAATGTTCAAGCAGATGGTACCATTGTCTGGGGCCTCGGCTTCACCTCGTCCCGTGTGGGGCCCCTGTCCACTGACCCTTCAGCCGATGCGCTTGAAGGCCGCTATAGCACCATCAAACCGGGAAGCACAGATGATATTATTGATTCTTTTGAACTGAGGTCGGCTGGCAAAGACACCTTTGTAGTCTGGCGTGCAGGAGATAATTGGAAGCTCAAGGGAAACATCTTGGTAGGCACCAAGTCGCAAAAAGGAGTTGTTGATGCAGACGGTACCATTACTTGGGAAAATTTGGGCATGGCGGTGACGTCTCGGCCAGTGTGCCAGTTGCCCACAACAGAAGGGGAGGCGACGGTAGACGCATCCTCAGTTGCAGGCAGGTATGCAACCTTCCACGGCACAGCATCATCAGATGATTCCGTTTCTTCTTTGGAGCTGCGGCAATCCGATAGGTCACTGATCGCTTGGTATGCGCAGCCACGGGAAACCTATGAAATCAAAGCCAATACTGTGTCGCAGGTAAATGGCAAAATGACAAGCTCATTCACAACAAATGGCGACATTGTTTGAGTCCTGGGTGTCACATCTCGTTGTGTGGCACCCTTACCTCCCGATCAGGTGGGGTCACGGACGGCTAGCAAACTCGAAGGCGAGTGGATCACCTTCAAAACGGGCGACGAGCCAAGTAAGGTTATCGATCGCTTCGAAATCAGGCAAAGCAGTGAGCCTACATATACGGTTTGGCGTGCCAAAGAGACCTACGAGATTCTTGGTAGAGTGATTACGTGTGTGGACGAAGAGCAGAGGACCATCACTGCTTCCATTGGAGCCAATGGTGATTTGATGTGGATGCATGGTTTCATTTCTCGACGGCTTTGACAAAATGTATCCAGCAATGACAAGCGGGGTATTTCGGTCCCACTTGGGAACTGACGCGTGCTGATTTGCGAACAGAACCGATCCTCCTGCCCGCTCTGCCAGTTGCCAGCCGAATCGCATCAATGCATCATGGTCACGGCCCGAGGTGAAAAAAGCCGATGACTGGTCTAGGAAGCCCAGCACGCTGTCCGCAGCGATAGGCGTCAACTGGATCCGAAGACAAGCCACCGCAGGTCTACGTTAATCCTGAGGCAATTTTCGTCAAGCTTGGAAGTTGTCAATGGCATTGTTCTGAATCATGAAGCACCTTGAAGGTCACACTTTTACAAAAGTGGAAGCACGAAGCACGATGCGCATGGCAGTGACACATCACAAGCTCGCATATGCCTGTCATGAACATAGAAAGGTTGGATGCTTTCTCAGCACGGACCTCATGGATGCGTACTTCAACCGTTTTTGTTTGTTGTTTCGCTGCGAAGGTTGAGGCATCACGGTTGCCCGACCATGCCCGCGAAGCAACTTAGCAAATTTGTCACGAAGTGCATATCGATACGTCAATGAACGTCTGTTTTTATGTTGCATTGGGTACTCTTGTGCTTGTCCAGCAGGTTGCTGCGGCATTCAGCCGCGATGGACTTGTCCGAATCAAGAACGTCTTGCCCGTTGAAGTGTCGGAGGCAAAGTTGTGAAGTTTTGGATGTGATCCGGAAGTTCAGCCTGGAGACGTCCTGTCTAGGCGCTGTGCTGCCGAGTTCAATCGGAGCTCGAGCAAAGACGGTATGAGGGTGATCCCACATTCTTTGGGGATGTTTATGGCTACGAGGCTAGGCTGGAGTGATGCCACGGGGGTTCGCAAGATGCAAAATCTGATCTGTTGCGGTGCTTGTCTGCAAGGACTCCGGGCATCGGTGGGATCTGAAACTCCAGCTGTCAAACGAGGATTGGTGCTCTTCATGCGATGACCAAATTCACGCGTGCCGTCTTCTGCTGACTGATCGGTTGCAGGTGAAAATTGCCCTCGTCAGCATCTTGGGCCGTTTGCAAAAGGTGCACAAGCATGATGCATGGAGCAGGTGGAGGATCGGACAAGCTAGGTCTCGGAAGATGATAGGTGCTGGAAACGCTGCGACCTTCTTGGCAATTGACGGAGATGGCGGTGATGCTTTCCTGTTTGTTGTCAAACGCAGGGTTTCTGTTTGAGCTGACATGCGGCTGCCAGGCCATGTGTACTTTTCCTTCGGACCCTGGGCAGCCGGCACATTGGCTTGGTTGGATGAGGGATGGCACACCTCACAGTACGGGAATGCTCAGGTTCACGCCGACACTTCCCATGTCTACGACCAGCAGGTTCGCATGACACGTTCTGAGACTGTCACACATTTATGTCAGAGTTGCCCTGAGGTGGTGACGATATTTGCAGTGCTGACGAGCTTGCAATCATTGCGCAAGAACAAGAGCCAGCTCATGTTGTGTTGAAGTATCAGGTCGCGCTTCATGACATCGCATCTGAGTGCTGCCCTTAGACTCCGGCGGCTGCTTAGTAGACCAGTCGACAGGTCTGCATTCGTACCCAGGCGAGGTCCGACTAAGATGTATCCCAAATCCCATTTAGTGCTGGACTCAGCTTGCATGTCGTAGCATTTCAGCGGATGCCCTTTTGTCCGGGCGAGGATGGAGAGCTCCACCTGGGAATGAAAGAAGTTGGGACCGTAGCAGAAGTGGAGTGGAGTTTAGTCGTTGCTCACCGTTTTGGGCTCTGGGCGAGGTTGACGAAGACAGCGCGGTCCTCTGTACCATGAACATGGGAGACTGTGCCCAGCACACAGCTCCGAGTCATGATGTTGCGGAATTTGATGTGCACACGCACAGACGCAGAGATTTGGCACCAGCAGCATTCCGAGGTAGTGATGGACAGCAGGCTTCTGCACTGCGGAACTGCGAACACATCAGACTTGCTCGGATCTGATTTCCTTGAGTGCAGCGCCTCTAAATAGCCTCTGCAGGTGTGGTGGATCCTTAACTTTAATTGTTCTGTGGATGGTTAACTCAGGCACAGGTTCCTTTTTTACACATCTTGGATGCAGCCTGCAAGGAGGCTCGTAGCATAACGAAACGTGGTTTGCCATTCCACAGCGTGTGCGTGCGCCCTGGGACGTAGGTCACGTGGGTCGACAAACAGCATCCTGCCGCAGTACGAGGAAAGTAAGCTTCACTTTGGCGATTCATTGGGAGTGTAGGAGGTCACGGCAGCCCTTCGATGACTTGGAAGATGTAAAGCTGGCCATGGAGGAGCGCTTCTCCCTCCGAGCTTGGCAGGAGTGGACATCTCCGGGGTTTGGCGAGTAGAAAGAGAGCCTCTCTCGGCTTTCATGTTTGGGATTTGCAAAGCCCCGTGGTGCTCCAAGACTCCAAGCCCAAGCCTGTCATTGTCATGTGCGGCTCCGAAACCTTGCGGCTCAAGCCCTGGTCAGCGGACCTGGGACGCCCAGCCCAGCCTGCACAGGCCCCCGGTGCGTACGAGTCCTACTAAAAACAACATCACTAAGTCTAAGTGTATTGACGATTGACCCTAAGACCCTGTTGGTTCTACTTGCACTGGTGGCAAGAAGCTTCACCGCATTCTGCGGTCTTGTTGCTCACGCACTTCGTTGTGTGACTCTCTGCAGGCGGCCCGGGCAGATCCAGAAGTCCTCCTGGGAGGCTCTGGACTCTGGGCAGACTCCACCTCGCGAAAGAAGGATACTTGCGCTTGTCTGAGGAAATCGGGCTGCAGCTTCTGATGCAGCCTGCAGCTGCAGCGCAGAAGGCCGACCCGAAGACAGCGGCTTGCGTTTGATAGACTCCGAAAAACATGTCTGGAGGCGAGCATGCGGAATCATCGCACTGGCGCCGGTGCTTCGACTTTCGACAGCCGTTTTTGCGTCAGCGCCTGCGTTTTCCAAGCACAGGCATCGCCTTGGCTGGCCTTGGTCTACTGGTCTACAACCTGGCAGGCACCTCCGTTGTCATCTGTGTAAACCGCACGCATACTGATACGGCTGTTGATTGACGGCAAAACGGTCGACAGATGACCATGGAGCAGTGTTTCTTCGTTGATAATGTCATGACTCTGACTCATGACTTCTCTTGTGTCATGCGTGTCCCCGAAGGTCCACGGCTTTTTGTGTCTCCCCAGCCTGAAATGCTGGGGATACCGCGACATGGCTCAGAGGCTCCGTCTGCTCTTTCCGCCTCGCGGTAAGGGTTGGATTTAGGGCCTTTGTGGTTTTGGGTTCGGCATTGGAACATGCGACAGTGGGTCCTTTTTCCGGGTCAGTTTGCGCCTCGCTTGCAGCAACCACCGTTCAGGCCAGGGCTGAGGCGGTGATCATGTGTGCTGCGAAACCGGGTGGACGGCCTGCGGCTTGTGTTGTGAGTCCTGCGCATGTCTTCCTGCCTCACAGATGTGGCTGAGTCAGGCCTGTGGATGTGACACAAGAAGCCATGCCCGCAAGCACAATCAAGGTCAAGCGCGGCACTTACCGGGGTTGCTCCTTGTTGCCATTTGCAGCACTGACCCCTCCTAGGACAGGAAAAGGTGAGCTGACTGTGGATCAGCAGTTTGACAAGAAGGAAAGGACAACCAGGCATTCCGCGATGCACGGCTTGTACTTCCACTTCAGGGAGATCTTGGTAGATGTTGCTGCTTCTGACAGGTGGCTCAAAACCTTGAAGGGCAAGTTCGTGTACAGAGGCCCCAAGCCAGCGGATCCGGACCAATTCATTAAGGCACGAAGGGTGCAGAATCAGCTCGAATGCATGAGTTTCCGGTGGATCGTCAGGTCAACATTGCTGTGCCACTGGCACCAAAGCAGGCATCAAACACCAAGATCATGAATCAGGCCAGCATCCATGTAGGTTTCTGAACCGCAACACATGTTTGCATGTATGGTCTTCGTGGTGATATGCGTGTGCAGCAGGTCATAGAAGAGCTCCGGCGCGTCAGTGGTGTTCACCCAGTTGTTCACGGCTTGGCAAATCTCCAATTCTCGCAAATCTGCATATCCATTCTTGGCATCGCTCGAGGCAACCTACTTTACATCCAACAACGCGGAGCTAGGATACCGCATCGTGCATCTGGCCATTTGGTGGCTGTCTTCATAGCTTCTTTACAGATGTTCCTCGAAGTGCCAGATGTTACTTGATCATGGTGCTGCCAGGGAGATAAATCTGGAGCCAAAGTCAACATAAGGGGCCATTTGATGTCGGCTACCTATGTCTGACGTAGGCCATCCCGGGCAGAGCGTACAGATAGCCGCAGCTCCAAGGAACGATTTTCTCCAGAGGCTGAACACCATTGTTCTGCCCCGAGTGCGAGACTTTGAAGGCCCCCAATCCATATCATGGCGAGGGCCGCTAAGCAATGTGGCGCGTTGCAGCAGCTCAGCAGCTCCGCACTGGCGGACGCAGGTTTGGATCCGACCTCCTTCAACAGGAACGCGAACTACTGGATGCACTTGCCCAGCCAGGACATGCTCAGCTGAGGATGGAGAGGGGCCCATGCACTCTGCGGTGCTTTCTCAACACAGGAGCCCTTCAACGAGCTCGATGAGCTGCTCGACTCGCGGGACCCCGGCATGTCATCCTGACACGAACCGTCGCGGAGCATCCGCACAA